TCATCATCATCATCATCATCATCATCATCATCATCATCATCATCATCTCATCGATGCGCTCATCTAGTCTTTTGGGGTCTTGACCCAGTCTCCTTGGCACCGGGGCCATAGCCTCGGCCGTCGATGATGTCGTAGCCTCGTCTTCTCTGCTCTTCATAGCGCTCCGGGGCCACGCGGTTCAGCTGACGGAGCTCGCGGATGTGGTCGCCCTTGAGATCCTGCCGACGCCCCACCCAAACCCCAGGGTGGCCCGTCCCCTGCCGGAAGAGCAGCAGTTGCGAGTCGGGGAGCGGTTGAACACATCCTCCGGGCCGGACAAAGTGTGTCAGTGATGGATCTCGAAAGGAGAGGCTTCCAGATCAAACACCCCTTTGGAACCGCATCCCCGCTCCACACTTGCAGGGCCTTGATGGGGGCCTTGACGGGCCTTGGTGTGCTGAGGTGGGCTTTCCCTGTCTGCCCTCGGTATCGATGGGACGACTGCAGTTCGTCCTGTGCGTGGAAGTTGTGGTCCACAATGTAGCGATTCTTGAAGCGGCCAGTGCGCTCCTGGCGGGGAAAAACCCTTCCATACAAACGGGCGGTGGAGATAAAGAACCAGAAACATATCCAGAATAATACCTGAGACCAATCTTCTGCGTACATTTTTTGGTACCTCTGAGCTACTGGCATCTGGAAAGGCTAGATGGCCCAAAACTTTAGAATCCCAAGGCTAACTCGCAAACACTTATCTCCATCTTGTTGGTCTTCACACAGAACAGTTCACCCCGACATCCCCCCCAACCACCTTTGGAGCCCCAACCACCTTTGGGGCCGTCCTTCTCCTTCGTGTCGTAGAGCCGGAGCATCTCCGGATTGTACGTCTCATGGGAAAGGATCCCATAGGCCGTACTTTCGCGACCTTTGTAGGATGGAGGGTACCTGGCAAAAGCGGGCGGGCTGGAAGAAGGCGAAGAGACGAGCTATGACCCATCGTTGAAGATAGGTGCGCTGACTTCCCTGACGGTTCTGGGGAAGACCCCAACGCATGAATCAAACATCCCCAGTGTCATGGTTTTCTTAGACTTGCTTGAGGAACCTGGAAAGACTACCCTTCTACAATTCCAGTAGAATAGATTTCACCAAGAACACGAAACTATGAAACAAATCCAAGCTTTTCGGAAAACAAAGTTCAATTCCAATCCTGCCGGCAGGGCAGACCAGCAGTCTCTCATCCGAACAGCAACCATAGAAATATATGTACCAGCAACTGTACCAGCACCATCCTGTCTGGGTGTCCTGGCTGAACATCTCTAAGCAGTGTAGCCTAGTCCACACCCATTGGGAAGAGGTCCTGCTATGGGAGACTCAGATTATGGGAGTATGGAGACCCACGGCCAGCCGTTCACCCCACCGGCCAGGCTTCGCTGCGCCTGGCTTCTCCGCGCAGGTGAATCTCCACCTCCCGCGCATCGTCGATTCTCTGCACCCTCTCCTGGCCGCTCCGAGATCAGAGCTCCGACCAGTGAGCTGTCCAGAGCTCCGATGGCAAAAGGAGCCCAGTTCGGTGGTTTCAGGTGATTTATGAAGGACCCTACAAAAAAAGACATTAAACAACAACATCTTTCCGGTGCTAGTGGCATTACTCATTGAAAACCACTGTATTGTACTAGTACAGTAGTAGAATTGGAGAGCAATTAAGCAACATAGACTGTAACATAGATTCAGTGGTTGGGTAGTCCTGAGTTCCCCGGTCGCTCTGAACAAAGGCGGCGTAGAAAAGCCGATTGAATCATCACTGAGCGGTAAGTATAGGATATATAGATTAAACAACATCCTGTGTATAGGTGTGATATAGCATTGTTTAAGTCGTTATATACTTGGACCATTCCCAAACAGGAATAGCCCCCAAATTGTTGGGATAGCCATGGATTGCAGGCTCCTCAGTTCTCACGCGACCGCCCGTTTCCCCGCTTCCCCCCGCTTCCCGCGACCGGACAGATCGACGCCTCCACCTTTGGATCGCAGAACTTCCCGGTCAGGGGATCGAAGCCGTTCTTCGCCATATGCTTCTCGGTGGCCTGGGAGCGACAAGGGGAGCGAACTGGGGAGCGGCTATGAGCGGCTGGGTGGGAAGATAGGCAAGGAAACAGAGTCAGTCAAGAGTTGAATGATCCCAAAAGGACCCACTCACTTGGCAACCTGGAGAAAGAATCCAATCATGTTTTGGCTTCGGATGGCTTTGGACTAAGTTTGCGGTACACATGGTCACCTTGCCTGAAGCACCGTGCTTTATCTTGATTGGTCGGACTTGCATCAAATGATGCGAAAGCTCACAGTAGCCGCTCAGTAGCTGTCAGGGTGGGACAGTGTGAGCGGCAGCTATATATTTATGTGTGAGACAATGACAATATCTACAAAATCTCTCGAAACTCCTGCTGGGGACTGGGCCATCAACCCAAAACACTCAGGAAAAGAGCCAACGTGTGCTCTTAATATAAAAGAAAGGCATGCGTTGCATCAAGCCATCGTCCATCTTACCCCCCTGCAAACTAACATGGACCATGAAAAGGGACCCCTGTCAGTAAGACTATTCTCATCTGCCACCCGATGGTTTTCAGGGTCCATGTTAATCTGCAGGAGGGTATAGCCTCACAGCCCCCAGATCGCGCCTCCAAGAGGTTCACTCGCTTCTCTTGGCGCAGCTTCTCCGAATGATTGTCCAAATACCTGAGCCGAACAGCGGTAACCGGACTCCCTCAGCTCCGTACCCCTTGTTTAGCTGTTCGTTTTGGCCGGGGCGCTGACACCCCAATAGTAGGATCATGTAGGATCCAATAGGATATCCACTAAGTGGGCAGGGCTCCTGATGACCAAAGGGTCCACTGAAGGAAGGGGGCAGGGGCCCCTTCAAGAGGTCGGGGTGGACCCGGATGGTGCCGGCATCGGAATGTTCCAAGGTGCCACCACTTCGGACCTAGGTCCAATCCCTGGTTGGACATCCAGTTCGGTGGGATTTGGGATCAACCTTCAACCAGGGACGCCAATCCCGGACGCCTTTCCGAATTGTGCAAATCTAATGTTAAAACCTTTGCGATGTTTGGTTCAATTGGGCCCAATCATCAACGAAATTCTTTTTTGGTTGGGTCTCCTCGATAGAGTTGTGCAGCTCGAAAAGGCCTCATTTTGTGAATATCCACCGACCCCGGTCGATGGGCGGGAGCGCGTCTGCCCAAAATAATTCAGTTCCATGCAACATGTAGTCTCCTCTCGCCCTCCCTCTCGCCCTCCCTCTCTCTACCCTGTTTGTGCCAAAGCTACCTGTTGGTCACTATGTCAAAGTCCTTGCAAAGAAATGCAGGTATCCTCCTGACCCGGGGAGACTTCTCCTTCATCCGTGGGCGGCTATCTTCCTTGGCCCAATGCTGTTCCTTGAAGGGCAGGTTGGAGAGGATATTGTAGTCCACTGCGGTGTCAGGAAAGTTGCCTGAAGAAGGGCCAAGCCATCGGCAGTTGTCCAAAGGAACTTGAAATGAATACGAGTACTGTAGAGACCCACCAGATGATGGCATACCTTACTGTGTCGTTCCATTCTTGCCGAGGTAAATATTTCCATTGAAATTGCGCAATAACCAGTCCAATTATATATATAATAGATTTAAAAAAATGAAGATATATGCATGCACACGAAATTCATTGCTTTTCCAGCAGACACCCACCCTTCCCATCTAAACTGCATCCAACCGTCCCAGCCAAGTGCATTTGATCATCCGTCCCTGCCGAGAAAAACATACTCGGTGCTTCCGTAGCGCGTCTCAACCGTCTCCCAGGCCTTTGCCCTCCTTGGTGCGCTCCTTCTCGCCCAGAGTACCATGGCCCCCCCAAGCGCATGGGATCTTTTCCAGGTGCCAGTTTATCCAGCTTGGACTCTTGACCTGGTTCGGTTTAACAGTTGCCGTTTCGGTTTAACAGTTGCTGGAGAAAAAAGACACGTGCAACACCCCCATAAAGATCCTAAAGGGACGTTTGAAGAGCGTGCTAGCCGCTAGCCGATAAGAAGGAACAACATACAAAAACACGCACCACAAGGAGAAAGATGAGAAAGCACACTACACTGACCACACGCGTCTCTTTATTTCGGTCCAGTCGCTGAGGATGTTGAAAGGCTGCTCCCGCAGGATCTGGATGTCCCTGGCACCTGGAGAGGGAAGGAATTGACAAAATAGATTGAACGCCTTAGCCCGAATGAGTCCCAAATAGATTGAAGGGGTGATTTCTCAAGGACTTTGTGGCTTGAACTGCTTGGACCTTTCCATTGAGACAAACAATTATTCCCGTGTTTCATTTGGTTTCTTGATGTTTCTTGGGGGCCCCTTATCTTACAAAGAACCCGAGCTCGTCTGAGCAGGGCGCCGTCTGAGCTCGCCACGGTACCCGTCTGAGCTCGGCACGGTTCAGATGTGCCACTCGCTCTCGCTCCTCCGCATGCCTCTGTGTACCCTCCACCGCGCCGTCGCGATAGCGGCCCAGAACAGGGTCATAGGTGCGCTCCTGGGCCTGGAGGAGTGGCGCGGTGCTATGCGGGGAAGCACCCTCGTGCAGTGCTTCACTTCTACGGGGGGCCTGAAGAGATGAAGAGATGTATGTGACCAATATATATATATATGTATAATATATATATATATACTATATTATATATATATATATATATCGATTTATTTAGGGTGTTCATTGAAGGGAAGGAGTGGTGTAAACATGTCGTGTAAACCGACTGAAATGGGTTTGACACGGTTTTTGAGGGTCTGGAGTCTATAAATAATGAGGTTCAATATCTGCAACGTGTTCACAAATGTTCACAAGGGTCTGCACCCTCCGACATGCCCTCCCTTTGTCCCTTCCAACTCTCGCCAAGCCGGACTCTGTTCGGGCTTCTCCCGCCTGAAACATGCCAGGGAGAAGCCGCAAGGGCTGACCACTGACCAAGCCAGCATCCACTTCATACCTCTTCTCCCTTTCATAGGCCCGGAGCTGGTCACCCCAAGTCTCCCCCAAGACGATCGTCATAGCGCGGAACCGTGCGAAGGGTGACAACGACGGTGTCGGGAGGTCACGACATCGCGAAAAAGCGACGTCTGGCCGCCGCGTCGTTTTGAGACTGGAGATGGGAGCGAAGGGCGGACAGCGAATGCAGCCACCAAATGCCAGCTTCAGGACGATGACATGGTCACATTCATCCTTTGGACAAAACCGCTTGTTGAATCATAGCAGAACCAGAACCATTCAGAACCCCTTACATGAGAACCATTGGTTTACTATGGTTTAGTGGTGTTTGTAGAGCACCTGCTGAGATCACAAAACCACGCCGGGCCACTGTATGGTAGTGTTGATATGTCACCCGCATGAAGACAGCCTGGGTCTCAAGAAAAAGCAACCAGGACTACAAATAGAAGTGACCCACAGCTGGCCAAAACCACGACTGAGAGCCCCTCCCACCTGAGAGCTTTCTCTGTGACTCCTGCGAGATGGCCTCCATGACCTCAGTATAGGAGGTGCGAGACCAAACTGTGCCAAATCCGCATCGTTCTTGAAAGGTTCTCTTGGACACATCACCACTGGGTTTCACGTGGGTTGTGAAGGGGGTATACAGATCACCTGCAGGTCGCAAAAAAGACTTTGGCGGCGACATGCTGCAACAGCCAATGTTGACGGGGCTTTTAGGGGGTACGAGGCAGTTTTCAGTCAGACTGGTTGATTCCTCAAGAGCTGTCGGGGTCGAAAGATACCTGTACTTTCGGGTATCCACCTCCTCCCTCGCCGACTTGTAAAGATCTCAGGTGGCGACAGGGTGCCAAACGGCCAAAGTCGTGAAGGATCATGCCCTAGCCATGCCGCGGCATGGCTCACGTGAGATGACTCAGGCGGCACACTTTCCTGGTTCTTGGTGTTTGGGGCACATCATCCGAACATTACCCTCGACTTCCCTCGACATTTATTTGGAGAATGAACGAGCTTCGTGTCAGGCACACAAACTGGATAGATCATGATAGAGATGTCATCGCTTGGCTGTCAGCAGCACCATGGAACTGACTTGGCCAGTTTGCTTGGACTCTTCTTGACATGGATAGCACCACGGATGGTGTAGGACACCCTGCACCCTGGCAAATCAGGTCAAGCCCCAGTATCTAAAGGACCTCTGGTTTTGGCAGGTGTTGTTGCGGCTAATGGCGCCACTGGGGAGAAGTTGTAAATAATTACGTACATTTTTTTGTTGTGCACTTTCATGTGAGCAGGGTGGGGTGGGCTGGTGTGGTGTTAACGTTGTGGCGCACATAGCCTCAACTGCGTCTGCAAGGTTCAAAAGAACGTTAACGCCACCCTCACACCACACCACCCTTGCCCAGCCTGCAAAATTGTCCGATAGCGCATCAAGCTTGTGCCATCGTGAGCAATGTTGATGGCGATCGTTGTAATGACTACCCTGCCCCGAGGACCTTTTTGACCCCCCCACCACCAAGGTAAGAAAAAGCCAAAAGCTCACAACAATAATTTATATATATATACCAGCACCCTGCAACAGGTCTCCTCTGGAGGCTTTTGCTGACTTAAAAGTCGCAGGTGGTGACCCGTTGGAGGGTGCTGGTGTATATATATAACTATATATATATATTATATGTTGGTCAATATTAATTACTGACTGGTTACTTACTGGTTACTTCGTTTCTGCAGCCCGGGCTCCCGCCACCAAGTTCCACAACCCGCCACCACCGTGCACCTGTTGGCCAAGCTCTGCGCACCAAACTCTGCCTGGGGCCCGCTAGGCCCGGTTCTCCGTTCGGGCCGGTGGACGACATGTCGACGACGGGAGATCGGTACCAGATCGGTTTCCTTCCACCGGCCCCATCCGAGTTCCAAAGCTGTTCGACCTCGAAACATGGCGGGATTGGGTCAGAAACGCTGCAAATCCTGGTGCACCCTGTATAACCACTGCATGTCTTTCTCAGAACCATGAATGACCAATGGTGACCTGGCGTCGAAATCACATGTCTGGCACCCCCTCCTGCCACTGAAATCACCGAGCGCTCGACCGAGCGCCGCGCCTCAGGCGCCGTGCCTCGCGCCCGGTCCGTGGCGCCGAGCGGCGATCTGTGCGATGGCCATGGGCGCGATGAGCTGCTCCATCAAGGGTACGTGGTTCGCGTCCGCTGCGCGTGCGAAGCACCATGAGAGGTTGGACCTCGGCGCATGGAGCTGTGTTTCAGGTCGATATCGGGTGAGATCGGAGTATATAGTAATCAGAAATCATCAAAAACCGCAGAGTAGCTGCAATTGGAATCCTGCAAGCTTAGCGGCTTAGCTACACATAGAATTTCGCTGACCTACCCGCTGATGGACAACACACCTGCACCACTCGCCGTATTGGACGCCAACACTGTCCAACGCCCCCTCTGAAAAGCACGTTTTTTTCTTCTAAGGCGGCTGGGTCTGTCAACGATGAAAGACCCTCCCCAAACCTCAGCATTGAAGTGCACGGCTCCTATCTGCCAAACATAGTGAGAACTGAGACCATTCCTGAGACATCCTAAGACCCAATGTTACCCACAGTGGATGACCATGGAGACTCCCAAGGTATCCCCTTCCAAACAAGGACGCTTCAGTGGACATGGTCAGACATGGCCATAGTTCCAAAGCCTCCTTTTCGTGGTGCACTTCCGTGTCAGGTGTGGGGAAGTCAAAACTGGAGATTGGCATTGCAGGGCATGACCTCCTTCTCCATTGTACACCCGCCCGCACCGGGAAAATTGCTGAAACCTTGTGCCTCCATTCAGAGCGCTAGCTCGTGACGCCTGGTGGGCCTTTCTTTAGCTGAGACGGATCCAAAGCGCCCAGGGCCCGTCACTTGAGCTACTGCCTGCCACCTGATAGAAAATCCTTCAACACTGGATGGATTGCACTAAACCATCCATTTGGGGGTTTTGGTCGTAGCTCACTTGCCCTACTGCCACACCACTAGTTCCATCACAGCCATCTTTTGCAAACGGAGGTTTGTTTGAAAGAATTTGAAAGATCTGGCATGCACGCCCTGTTTCATGGAACATACTTCTGGACAGCTGATAATAAAACATGTATGATTGTAAGCGATTGTGCTGATCAATGATTGATACATATATTGATATACACAAATACACAAGCGAATATAAACGATATAATATAGTTACAACCCCCAACGGGCTCTAACCAACTCCTGGAAGCTCAAAGAGCCACAAGGCTTCAATGCTTTCCACACTGACACCCATCATCCACAGACTCACTAGCATGGAATGGGAAAATTGCCCACGAATGCATGCATGCGCTGTTTTTTTCCAGATCTGACCGTTTCACATTTCACGATGGTGAATGGGGGCGATTTGATCTCACTCAGACTGCAGCATCGCAGCATACACATTCCGCTCACGTTTCGTGCCTTTGCTCTCCTTCCGAGCCTGCCATGACCCCATTAAAGCGAGAGCATACCCGGGGTGACCTTCAACAACCCTCTGGAAGGGCCAAGTTGGAGACCCATGTTCACCCCTCTATATGTGCATTTAACTATATGGAGGCCTTCATCATTGGGTTTTTGGTCTATGTCCTTCTTGCAGGCGTCGAACTGGGAGGTCCTATTTCGGGTGACACAAAAAAATCAATAGACTCGGCAATAGAGATTGGGTCTATCCTATTACCTGGGCCCAGTGGATGATGATTCAGTTGCAGGCCTTGTTTAAAAATGATGATTGGCTTGTTGACGGGTTGTTACAGGCAATTAGGACAAACCAATAGAGACGTCTAAGGGGAGACTTCATTTCGGTCATGGACCCTCGAGGGTAAACTGTCCGCACGTCCTTCTCCGGTGGATCCCTCAAAACAGGGTCGAACCGGGAGGGTCGAAGATCTGAAGAATGAAATTCAAGCATGTTGCCCGTGATGTGTGGATGAGATGCTTTGATTCATAGCGTGTGGAGATGGGAAAAGGCTCAAGACCATGAATCAACAGTCAACATGAACCTTCTGGCCATGTCGAGATCCCGGTGTTCTCGCCCTAGGCCCTAATCACCGCAGCGTTCACACCCCCCCCGGCCTGCTGCAAAAGGTGCTTGGCCTCACTGTTCCCAGCGTTGACCTTGGGCTCGGCTCATGTGGCTCGGCTCGGCTTCAGGAACAGTGCCTCTCTCCCATCTGTCTGGCACACGTCAGCCCACAGTACCCGGTAAAAAGCAGATATCTCACGAAAACCCAAGCCATGCCCACTCCTGCCTGGCGACCTGCCACAACTATGCAACTCAGCTTGAGTTCAAGCTCCAAGAGCTCCACAACTCCGAACTCTACTCATCTCCCCTCCACGCCTCCAAGACCTTCTTCAGATCCTTCTCCGCGCGGTCTGCCTCGCCCAGCGCCAGCAGCGCCTTTCCCCGGCGGAAGAGCGCCTGACTTCGGCGCCGCGGCGGACGCACGACGCACGTGGCCCTGGACGATGGAGCGACGAGCATCGGTGTCAAAGGGACAAAGGTGAGCCAAAGGATCGGTGTCATGAAGCGAAAAAGAACGTGAAAGATCAACGGCCAACAAACAAGAGACAGAAAGGGTCGATTCAAGCAGGGCTTCACTTCCAACCGCGACTTGCACAAAGATTCGATGCACCCAACTGGTCTTCTGAATGGGTGGAGGTGCTTCATGTAGGACGCATCCCGCACCCTAAAGACATGAGGGCTCCGAAACGGAAGAACTGTCTCTCCGGTGAAACGTTGGAGGGACCATCCTATGACATCGTATGCCGTAGACCGCCCGGGCGGATCCTGCCAGAGACTCGAACAACTTCGACATCCAGTTGGGAATCAATGAGATAATTGTGTGTGTGTGTGTGACGTGTGTGTGTCATTTCACGTACCTGCCTATACATCTATAATAATATATATATATAACTAAATATAGTACACATCCACATCACACCTGCATCAAAACGAGCGCTGCAGGGTGCAGGTCATATGGCCGGTTTCAGGTTGGCCGCACACGTGGAGGGATCCGGAGGGGTCGGTCCGCAGGGCGGTCTCCCAGGCGGTCTCCCTGCCTTCTCGTTGGCCGGGTTGGTGCGCAAGATGGCATTGCAAACGGCCTGAGCTCGGATGCGCACACCAGCCACACCGCGTTGCATGCAGCCAGGCTCCAAAGTTCCATGGTCATGTATATATGGTGCACTGTGGGACCATGTCTGTTGTTTCACCAGATCTCGGTAAGACTGAAAAACCTATTACTTCACTCTGGACTGGTGCGAATTGGCCCAAACATGGGCAGGGAAGCGATCCCAAGAAAATACGAACACTGGTTGGTGGTTTCACCGGACTTGAATTTTTTGGTCAGTGGGTTCAATCATCCCAAGTAAAGGTTGAAAACACCATGGTACCACCTAGTATATCATACATCTGACTGCCAAGCCTGAAAACACGAGGCAGGCACAAGCTGGTTGAGTCGAGGGCCCTGCAAAATCTGCAAACAAAGTAAAACATCACAAACACCCCGGCCCCAAGACCTCAAGTTGCGGGGTCATCGGTACCATTTCACTGCTCAGTGATGCTCAGTGCCCTTGGATTTGCCTCGACATCTCGCCACTTCTCGAGCTTGAGCAAGCACGCAGCCTAGGAAAAGACGGGAACGTCCAAAGACCCAAATGGATGGTTACAGCCCGTTTCAGCTCTCCGTCACACCCGAGCAGGGATTTTCTTTGGGAGTGGTATGTTCTCTCCTTAGGTCACCATGGGATGGGAGATGATAGGAGTCCATGGGTGAATGCCCAATGTCTTCTAACGCCTTGGCCAAGATGAAGACATGAAGCATATGAGCCATGGTCAAAACTTATGGTTCTTCTTCAAATATACCAGGGACATTATGGGTCTTGAGTTGGACCTGATCGTTTTACAGTGCTGTGAGTCCGCCACATACTGATGATCATATACAGTGCTGGGGTTATCGGTTTTGAGGTGGACCTTGTCGTTTTACAGGGTTTCGTGCACAAAACCTACCCCTCTTTATTATCCCCCTTCGTACTGACCGCTAACGTAGATCCCCAGGATTTTACGTATTAAAATCCTACTGATCCAAGGTGACTTTGTATTTTTTCATTGGTGCCCTAGGTCTTTTTCCCAAAAAGTGCTTTTTGTAAAATCCTTTGGACCGACGCGTGTTCAGGGTAGGGAACCAAGGAAAAAACAAGGAGTCCAAGCTGATCAAACGTTTAGTAAAATCCTGGGTATCTACCTAATACTCAACCAGGCGGGCATTGCTGGTGCAACTGTGGTTCAACTTTTGGACAATTGTGACCTCCAAGTGCAAGCGCTCGTCTTTGGCCAGTTGCTTTCTGGCAAAGACACCCCTTCCAAGCGCACCGCACTGCAGGACTCCAATTCTGGTGTCTGACACTGGTGTTTGCAAAGACATGGCCCGAATTCTCTGTCAGCTACCACTCCAAAAAATGCGACTGTACCATTGTTTACATTTAAAAACAAATGGTTACATGGCCCCATACGCAAGCCATCATTTGATTAAATTGATTGCAATCATATACAGCATGTGTATCTATCAGCCGAGCAGATAAATGCTGCAAAAAGCAAATGCACAAGCACAGCCACAGCAAAAAGCGTCCTCTCCAGTATCTCTAGAATATCTAAAGTCTTAGCACAACCCCAGCATCTCTACCTTGTGAAATCCTACAATTTTAGTGAAATCCTGTAGTCCTACGTGTTTTTGGAATCCTGGCGCCCTACCCTAAGCAAAAGGATTTCAAAACAGCCCGATTTCTTGTTGTTTTTTCCTGGGTCCTACCTGACATCCTTATCAGCGAACTTTTTCGCTAGTTTTTTTTATTTCTGAAATAGTCACGTCTACGTCTAGGATTTCAGTATGGCACAACCAAGGGGGATCTTTATTCAAGTGGTATTCGGAAATGTTTTGATAGCCTGGCTATGCCTGGCTCATATGCACTTCCGTAACCGGAGCGAAATGTGCTCAAGTCCCCATCTCACAGTGCCAGGGGCACGTCCCCACCGAAGTTGTCACATGACAAACTGATACACGATGTCGTCATTATGGTCATACAGTGGAGGGAGGCCAAAGGCGTCTACTCTTGCGCAAAACCCTAACCCTCCTCAAAAGTTTTATAATCAAAACTAGTTGACCACTTTTCGTAGGGAAGTTCATCTTCCATACTCCTCCTGGCGGTTCCTGTTCGTGCTAGCCAAGCTAAAAAGGAAACACCGTCTCTACTTTAATCCTTCTTTTCCAATTTTGGATCACGCTGCACCTGGAGACTATCTCACTATTCGCAGTGTCTGGTTCATACAGTAGGAGGGCCTCCACCTCAGTTCCCCTTGGAAAATAGAGGTTAACCATGGTTACAGTGACCTTTTTCCATCTTTTTCCACATCTTTTTGGTGGTGGGAAGCCATTGGAAACCAATCCCCAAAGAAGGTTAAAGATTATCCACTGACTGGGTAGGACTACACTTGGCCCTCGCTGAGCCTCCCACTGCATTTAGCTCGCAGGCCGATTTGACCTCTTGCGCTTGAGACCACAAGGAGTTGTCCTTACTTCGAGACAGTTGCAGCTACAGCGGGAATCTGAATGAATCTCACACCTGGTGTGTTTCCAGAAGTTTTTGGATCCATCCTGGAAGCAGATTGTAGGATACACAATGTATACAGCGGTGGACCCAATCACAAATAAATTTACTGGGATCTCTTGGGTGCATTGGAAGCATCTGGAAGCATGAGAGCCTCAATTTGGGCACGAGAGCCTCATCCACTGGCCAACCAAAGAGGTCTGAAGATCGGCCCAAGAGACCTTGATGTCATCTCTGTGCGTCAGCATCTCCGCTGTCAGGCTATATCTCCTCGGAGCAAGGCAGCAAGGCACAGATGGGGTGACTTGCAGAGTCTTATCATTGCACCTGGCCGAGTGGCCGTGACCCGCAGTGACACCGTGCCCTGAAAAGCCCTCAAGCAGAACACATCCAAGAACCCCAGGCTGTGGGGCAAAGCCATCGCCTCCCAACTTTGTTGCCAGGTGCCCCGTTGGCCAAGTGTCTCCAGGGCTGCTTGAAACCACCCACGCTTGAAGTATCTGCCTCCGGCGTCTTTCCGCCCTGGCAGGCTATCCACCACAGTGGATGCGGTGCGCATCCAGTGACCACTCTAGATGGGCATAGCATGACACAGTGCAATCCTGATTAAGTGGCACAACTACTGTATTTCTAAAACGGGGTATGGATAGAATCAATGGGAAGAATGTTCATCTATATTACATATTCACATGATGTTAACTTTCAATGGGATGGATGTTCAATGCCAATGGGGTCGAGCATGCTCAAGTTCACTAAGGGCCCGATGCGCCAAGGTTGGCTCCGGCCCAGAACAGGGACACCCGGCTTGAACAAATCAACGGAATCCATACTGTTCACTGGTGTATACATGCCAGAAGTGCATGGAAGTAGCAAGGCACCATCATGATTGCGCTCTACCTCCAACCCATTTGGGTTTGAGTCCTTGTGTGACATAGCAGGGAGGCTCGCCCTACATGAATGTAACAAACCCTCATCTACGAAACACTGTGAGTAGCTGCAGCCCTTAAGAGCCAGGCTAGTCCCGGGTGCGTTCCGACGGTAGCCTTGCTTGTAGCTCTCCAGCGCCACGGTGGTGTGCGGGCAAAGGATCATGATTCGCACATCTACATAGATGCCCCCTTTTTCCAGCCTCTCAGGTGATTCGATACCTAGTTTATCCTACTTTCCATATGCACACCGCAACTGAACAATCTCCCAGAAGCGCTGCTCGTTCAATCCCGCTAGACAAAATCAAAGACAACCCCCAGCCACCCTCCAGGCACCTGCCGAACACTGATGTCATCCGCCGTCGCTCGTTCAAACGCCCAAAGGGCCTTTGGCATACTCCAGTCGTTCGTGGCCCTCCAACGTGGCGAGGCAAAGATCTTGTGCCTTGTGACGTGGCTCTTGGGAGATTCCCGAAGCAGGTGGCGCCACCTGTTCGGCTTGCTAGACTCTATGCGTTGCCCATGGGGGAAGCCATGGCGCAGCCCCTTTGGCATGGTCATCCCACATTCAACCAGTGCTAGTCCAAAGCTGGCACCCAAATTGGCCCTCATTTCCTCATGCACCCCGGCCCCTCCAACAAAGAACAAGTATATAATTATGATTCTTCAACAGCCGGGCTTCATCCACCTACAGGCCTATCACAATACAAAGGTTGAACAACCTCAGAACCACCTCGGAACCAACACCCCCGACCCCTGCAGGTCTCTCAGTAACGTTCGACCCGCCTCCAAAAGCTCCAGTTTCATGAGCACCTCTTTACCCATGCCTCAGCAAGTGCACTCCCTGGATTTCTCAGACAAAACGTGGACGGATATATTATGGTTCTGAAAAAGGATGAAAAAGGGATGACCATGGCATGACCATGTTTGTTCTGAAACTGGTGGTGGTACACTTTTGCGGTGCCAGGCAGTGTAGCCACACCACTTCGGGGTGGGATTCTGATTTCGCTGAAGGGTGGAGCCGGAGCTCCCCCTGTCTCAACTCATGACGCAAAACTGAAACTGTTCCAACACCTCCAGTGACTGGCTGACTGGCACCAAGTGGTCTCTTTTCACAGGGCGGTTGGTCACCGGAGCTCTTCCGCTTCCGATTGGATGCGATGGCGTCCAGCGCTGCCTCCCTGAGGTCCGGAAGCATTTCTCCAAAGGTTTCATCGGACTCTAGGGAGGTGATCTCCTCCTCCTGGGCAGCTTTCAAGGCATCCAATGCAGGACCTGGCGGCATGCTTCTTTCCAACGAACTCAGGAACACCTTGGAGTAAATGGCTGGCGCCAGTGTCCGCTGCAGCAGTGGTGGCCAGCGCTGGCCCAAAGGAGCATCCACAGAGTCGCCCTCCAGCCAAATCGTCAACAGCCAGCGTCCAAATGTGGCACCCTCACGGGTGGGTGGCAAGGTGTAGTGCAAGAGCCGGTCCGAGAGAAAGAGGATGCCACGATTGAAGAGGGGAGAAATCTTCACCTTCCAGCCATGCAGGGTGTGTGTGTGTGTGTAAAAGGTAATGAGACAAATTCTGTCAGATTCATCCTCAAAAACGCTTGTTCAATAGAAAATCTTCTGGAAGTCTGCCACTTCAAGCTCGGAACTGCAACCTGTAGGCCCTGAGACATGATTTCACAAAAAAAAACGTTCAAGAACTCAAGAACTCACCAAAAATCAAAACAACTCCCAACCTCCGAGTCCAAGAATGGCTGTAACACCAGCTCAGCTCCATACTCCTCTTTCCAGTCGCCCGGGTACAAGAGCCAGGTCACCTGGCGCCCTGGCGCCGTCTCCGAGGTGTCGTAGTGGCACGGGGCGCAGCCCGAGCTCCCACAGGTGAGTTGAAGCTTCACCTCGGCCACGACTCCGGTTAGCCAAAGGGAAACGACCCACTCTTTCCTTCGAAACAGGCCCTTCAAACAAGGGGGGCGTTGGGTGTACAGGAGTCCAAAACAAGTTGTTCTCTTGTCGTGTGTGTGTGTGTGTTCTGTTTAGATTAGTAAGTTAGTTGAGCTATTTGGACATCATGTGCCCCTCTGTCACGCTGCAGGACGTCTTCACCTGTCTTCCTCCCATTTTCTCCCTTTTGCTTCTTTGCCGCACCTCACCTGCACCTCTGGCCGCAGCTGTAGGCTGGGCGCCGCCTCCTGCAGCCGCCGTGTGAAGCTTCCTGCGGCCACAGCAGCGAAGTGGGCGAGGCCCGGGGCGCGTGCGGCCACTGCCGGTGTCACGCGGGGAGCCTGGCGCAAAGGTGAGCCGAAGGTGGCTGGTGGATTTACCGAAAATACGAAGCTGAAACCAATCTTGAACCTAAGAGTCATTAGATATCATTAGTAAACTCCCTCTCTCTCTCTCGCTCGTCTCTCTCTCTCTCTCTCTCTCCTCTCTGTCTCTCTCTCTCTCTCTCTCTCTTGGTTGTTTTTTTTGGACACCGTTTCGATCTTTTCTGGCACCACTTCACGTGGCGCTGGACAAGTCGTGAAAAGGCGTTAGAATATTCAGCCGCGCGACCAGGAATGATTGACATGTCAATGGGTGACGATGTATGGTTCGACTACTACGTTGCTATGTCAACCTTTGGACGGCCCACTCGAGAAACACAAGTCAAGTCCAATGTCAAGTCCTGCAGGCCAGTGGCGGCCAGTGGCCAGTAGTGTGTCAAATCCACTGGTCGCGCCTCCAAATCCACAAACCTCCGTCCAGGGTGTTGATACTGCACGCGACCACCCTCCGCCGCAAACTCGAAGGTGTGAGGGCCTCAGCGAGCACCAGCACATCGTCGCTCACACCCCAAGCAAAAGAGAAGTGGGGGAGCGCCATAGAGGCGATTCTGCCCAGTACAAGTTCAAATTAATACTGCCATGTTATACCATTGTGATCTGTGATGGTCTCTCTTTTTCGGAGTCATCTTCCTTTTTGCCAAGTCGAAAAAAGGCACGCTCAAAAGCAACCACTGCTGTCAACTCAATCACAGCTCAAATCAAAAGTGACCCTAGGTCTCCAAAAGCCTCCTCAGAAGTTAGACCCTCCAAACCCACCCAAACAGCTTCTCAAAGATACAAGCCCTAGGCCCTAGGGGAACCTTTCCAATTCGAAGGGCCTAATAGAGACCGCTGTTGGCACATCCCTTGCTGTTGTTTGAAGGCCATTTTTGGCCAACTTCGTTCTCGAGGTCTCGATAGTGTGTTCTTCGATCGGCCGTCCGTGTCCAAGCAGCATAACCGGGCAAGGGAAGCAACCTACGTAGTGCGACCTAATTCAACTTACTTTGCGAGCAGTTTTAATGCAAACTCTTGAAATGTGAAAAGGATTGAACAGTTTTTTGTTTTTCAATCCAAAGGGAGAGGTTAAGTTATTCATCTAAGAGTCTACATCAGTGCACCAACAATGTTGAAGGATGCTGCAAAACATGTCCCATGAGGCTGCGCCCTTCCTTGAGGCCATCCGAAGAATCTCTGTCAACCCCTGGGGGGATAGAAATCCCATGAAATCCCAAATGCTAAGAAACATAAGAAAACCATCCGGATATATCCAGTAATTAGATTGGAAACATTTGGAAACCGTCCGCTTTCGCACCTGTGAGACCCGCCTCTTCCGTGAGGCAGAAGTTCGGCCAAACCACAAGGGGGGCGATCGACCCGCAGGCAGGTTCAACCCGCCTGGTGGACCGAGTCAACGTGTGGACCTACACTGCCCTACATGGTCACAGCCACTTTTACACTGGCACTTGGAAAGGCTGTGAGGCCAGTCTGAATGTCGAAGCCTTCAAACGTAGCGACTGCATAAAAGAACAGGAAAAAAAAACCGCCGGTTTTGGCCGAGGATCTCAGCAACTGGGCCTCCTCCAAAAGCAAACATTCAGCTGCAAGGGCCTCAAGCAGGATTGATCTACGGTAATCACGATGCCCGGACCGTCATGGGAAACAACCATGAGGGATGTTCTACCTGTATCTACCTGTCCGAGGGGCCACAACCAGGAAAACCATAAAGCTTTGGGGGCCCTAACCGGCCAGCTTGCAGCCAATCCCGTTTGGACCAACCGGTGAACTGAAAGACCCTCAAGTTCCTTGGGACTCCTCGCCTCTGCCCATGTCTCGCTCAAGCATTCGTCCAGCTGCGCCCAGTGGTGACTCACCAAACGGCCCGCGCAGCGCGCAGCAATCGAGGACAAACTGGGCAGAAAGGCATCCCACGCCATGCCACCGATGTCGCCCCCAGTAACGAACCGAGTGAACTGGCGGGCTATCGCGCGGTGCGACTCGACTGGGAGAGTCTGCCAACATGCTGTGGTGGTCATTGTAGTCGCTGTCGTTTTCATCATGGTCCTGGGTGTGGTTGTTCTTCTCGGTGTTGTTAACGATGGTAAGCCCACGGGAAAAAGGCTCAAGAAACTAAACCACTGAGTGGCTAGGGCTACTGTACATTTGTTGAGCCACACCCGTGTTCTTGTCGATGTTGATCATGATGTTTGCTCCTATGATGTGGTGACTTGACATATCGGACAACTCACCACCTATAGGGTAAGATTGGTTGATTGGTCTTACTATGTCTTATATCACTGCCTCCGCTGGAAAGTCTCTGGAATGATCCGCTGAAGCCACATGGTGTCCGGGTTCAGGATCCGCAGGATCCGCTATCCTTTCAGCTGGTTACGGGTCCGCGCACCATGTTCTTTAAAAAAAGAACGTGTTGTTTGATGTAGACCCGGGATCCAAGACCCACATGGAAACCGGAAGACCTGGACCTTCGAAGAGTATCTTCCTCTACCAACCCGGGTCTCGGCCGGGTCGTGCAGGTCGACCGTCCGTGTTCGCGACATTGGCTGATGCCCCACATCGGGCCCCCCTGCGAGGTATATCAAGTGGACCAATGGAAAATGGAATGAGTTCTTCTGTTGGAACGTCCGAGACCCCAAGACCTTGGAAGATGGGACTTCTATACATGGGGTCCACCGGTCACCATGATGTCTATGACGCATCGGCGTCGCTGGTCAACTGACTCCCGGCATCGCAGCAAATTCACGGTGATTCTTGCCCAACACGTAACACGGTGCTGGTGTCCATGACGTTCCTCAGACTCCACCTCGTCTGTTCCGAACGGGACTCCACGACCTGGTCGGAGGGACGACGGACGAACGGCACAACGAACGGCAATCCGAGGCGCAGCTGGACAAGGATTGCCAAAGCCCAGTCTCCGGTAGGGCGCCCAACTCCCCAAAGGATCGGCCTCGGAAAGGGGCTGAGAAAAGAAGAGAACCCATGTCAATAAGAGGTTTATACTGACTGATGACAGAAACCCTTTTTTCAAACTTTCTCGGAGTTTTCCGGAAAAAACAACTCCAGGGCTGTTCCAAGTGTCTGACCTCGGCATCCTAGCACAACTGAAAACCGTTGGCAGTTGTTGCACTGCAAACCTGAGGCTTGCTGTCTGAACATTGATTGTAGGGTGCGTGCCAAGTCAAAACCATACCGTACCCTCCTCTGCTGGCTCTTTTTGGGGTTTGGGGTTTAGAAGGAAACTTCTGTCTTTTCCAAGCCCTTCCGTTGAGGATGTTGAGTGACAAGGCGGGGCTTCACCGGTGGGTCCAACTGTCGCCAAATAGCCAGATAGCTAGTTCTTCACTCAATCAAACCGCCTCACTGCGCTTTTCGTGCTTTTTCTCGCACCAACGTTAGGCCGCCATGCTCCGGTCCCTGGCTTCCTGAAAAAAACATCGACCCGGTCCAAACCACTTATATATGTCCAAAAGGCAGAAGGCAGTGAAGACTCCGCCAGGCTTCAAGCAGGGGATGATGATCCTTGGCGCGTCGCGTTAAATGACCCTCATGCGTCACGAACGACGCGCGCAGCGTCGAATGATCGCATCGATGAGAAACACTCCAAGAATCATGGCGAGAAATGGGCCACGAGTCTGGGTCCAGCAAAGATCAGACACAGCAAACGGTGTTGTCAAGTTCAATCAACGACAAGGATGGAACAAAAACAACTTGGGTTGCAACAGTAATGCGAATCATTTGTATCATTTAAGTCGTTGGCTGCGAACTCACTGACTGCCACAAATCCAGGGTCCATCTGGGCTACCCCACTCCAACTCCTCCGGCAGTCGCACCTCGCCACTGCCCAGCTGCGCCCGCAAAGATTGGCAGGAGAGAGCTGCAGGTCCTCGCGTTCGTGCTGACAAATCGAAGACCTCGATGTTGAACGTCACCTGCACAGGAACTTCAGTCAGTGGGCACCATGCAGCCAGTCAGTACGCAGCCTAAGATCACCCAGCATGTCCGACATTGTGCCGAACGTCCTGCAACACAAACAACATCTGGCACACACCAACGCCCTATATCTCCCGCTTTCTTTGGTCAAATTTGGTGCTCTCTCGCGCCTCGGCGCCATCCGCCGGCGCGGTGGCCTCCTTCGGGACCTCTGGTGATCGCAGCAGGAGCCGCCCGGGCACGTTGGGCGAGAGGTCGGTGACGCCTCCCGCGGCGGAACGTGCTGCGGAGCGTGCTGCAGTAACCCCAACTGCGGTAGTGAGGTCACGCGAGGGTGGTCAAACATGCCAAGCGGCGCATGGCAGTTTTTTTTGAGACACATGGTGAGGCACCATAGAATACATAGAAATCATATGAAACCATGCTTCCTTATAGTCACTCGTGGTGGCTGGACATTCTCCTTCTCTGCGTCAGTTTGTACTAGTATATTTGTGATCAATCCACCCATCCAAAGTGGCTACAGGCCGGTACAGGCTCCCCGTGTTGTTCGCAGCCTTCCAACCATCCAACGCTGGACGAAGCATCGCGGTGCGAAGCATGGCGTGCGGATCCACCGGGCCACCGCCGGCCACCGCGAAGACTCCCGGTTTCCAAGGTTCCAACCGCCCGAAGCAAGCTTGCGCATCATGACCCCTTGCACACTTACAACAGGACCCCCTTTGGCAAGAACGATATCGCTATATCTATATGCTGTTTTATTCTGATGAAGATTGCCATTGTGTGCGCAGAGTTGTTATGATTGTTCTCTGACTACCCGGATTTAAAAAGGATCCTGGATAATCATGAATACTCCAACGCATTCCAACGCATAACGACAGGAATCTGTGGCACCCTGCCTCCCTTGCCAACCTCCCAGCGGGTCACATCATCAGGATCACTTGGCACAGGCACGCCTGGAGCGAGAGCGCCAGGGCTTTGACGGATGATTCATGTGTCTGAAAACATCCATGATGTCAATGGGTGTTGGCATGTCCCAAAAGTCCAAAGGATTGAAACAAAAACATCCCGCCGGGCTCGTTTCCGCGCATGCGGTTGAACACATTCTTCAAAGGCTGAGGTGCTCAATGATGACGAATGTCCGGTGTGTGACTGTGTTTTGCATTGATAGGAAAGGTTTGTCGCAGCATTCAGTACATGAAAACAACTAAAAAATCGTAGCGATTTTGACATCGAAATGCTACGAGACTGTGGTTTCGTGCGAAAAGAACGCGCGCTTTTTCATCCTCCAGCATCATCATCAGATCAAAGTCTGTTGGACAACTTCTGACCCAGCTTCGTCAGAAGATCGTCTTTATTCTGGTGCCAGCGCCATTGCCACTGTCGAATGAACTTCATGATGTTTGGGTTTATATCGTCACCGTCACGTGAACGCAAGCTAGTGGGGACCGACTCCTTACACAAACGCCACATACCATCAATGGCACCGGTGTGGATGAGCAGCTCTCCTGACCGCAACCTTTTCTTTACACAAAACACTCCTTTGGAGTGATTGCAAGATTCGTGGCGCAGACCATAGTCTGAACGATCGGCATAGCTACGGTCGCATCCGAGGTAGACGATAAATGTGGAACGAACACACCACAAAGCTAGACTACAACGGTTCAGTCAGGGAGACCCGGCTTTATCTTCGTATGCACTATGATGCACTGAACATGCAACGTGTTTAGCCCCCCCACCCAACCGCTTCCTAATACAAATGCGCACAACATGAACATCACTAGCCCCCCACCCAAACCCCCCCGAACCCCCCCCTGCCCCCATCTTCCATATTCCAATTCGTGTGTTTGTGTGTGTTCTTGCTCCCCAAAAGGACTGTATGAAAAATCAGCTTCACTACACGCGCGGTTTTAAGCCCATTAGCAAAAACATGTTGTGCCATCTGATCTGGCACATTGAATCCTCAGTCAGGTAGAAACTTGCAACCCTGAACAGGATCGCTCCGGACCCTGCGCCAGTTATTGCAACTCGCCTAGTAGGACTGCTTACTGACTACTCTCGTGCAAAAAGTGTTCCATCTTCTTTGACTGGCATCCCTTGCGCTTTGAGATTTGCCTTGTCATTGTCTGCCTTTCGGAGGGGAAACATCCAAAATTCACTGTCAACATGGGTTTTCGAGGACGTCCGCTCTCTAATTGCTAATGTCTCTGGACCAACTAGTGGTTGGGCACCAGCAGCACCGGGCCCAACGCTTCGCCAGCGTCGCCTGCCGCCGGCGAAGAAGCTGCTGGAGCCGGGGCCTGGTTCCAGGCGGCAACTCCATATTGGGGACCATCTGGGCCACTTGATTAGAAAATAATTCTGTTCTGAGTTCTGACTTCTGACTGATTCCGGTGTGTGCACCCAGTGAAGTTGCATGATTGCACTGCTTGTCCTCCTGGGTGCATCCCAGAAGTCAATCCTGTTCCTGCTGTGCATGGCCGCAAGGATCATGTTTGGGTAGTGTGTCCTGTCCACTGGCCAGTCCAGGAAAGGATCCTCACAAGCATACCTCAGAACCAACTCATCTGCAAAGCAGGATGTGACAACCGCATCCAAAAACTTCACTACGCAACCATGGCCTCTGGCACGCTCGACTTGTCATCAGGGCCTAAGCTTCAAAACGGGAGCATCTGTGCTGGTTCACTACTGCCAAATACGGGAAAGAAAGTGCCATCAAATATCATCAATGAACACTCCCTCGCAAATGGCCACAATAATTTTGTTTGGCGATTCTAGGGACCTAATGAGCATAGGCCTAGGCTTCTTCCGGAGAACTACCATGTCTTTTTAGGCGCCAAAAGGTTCCAAAGGCCCCACATTGGTTCGCGATGTTGGGAGGTGTGGACCTTAGGAGCCTGATTCGACTGTTCACTCCGACTACTACCACCACCACCACCACGGACTACTGCTACGATTTCCAAAAAACGAGCCACATGCCCAAAGGTCATAATTCTCTGCACCTGCCACGAAATCAGAGCGCGCCGACGACCACCTGTCAAAAGTTCTGCACCTGCCACGAAATCTCGGAAAAACGGTTTGGTCATGTTTGGTCTGCCCAGGCTGCGGACAAGTTCAAATCTGAATCGACCAACCAGAGATCGAACCGATATGAGGCAAGTGCAATGCTCCGGTCGGTATGGAGTGGCCGACCAAGAAGCCAATCGGCCAGCGTGCACTCTTGGAACCGATCGGACAAAGAGATGAAATCATTCACAAAGAGGTTTGAGAGTTCAGCATGTTCAAACAGAACAAAAACACAACAATTGCTACCAATTGCTCAGCAAAAAAGTGTCGAACACAGCTATAGCTTTTTGATGCTTTTTGGCTTGTTACCCATGAATGCAAAAGTGGTCTCAGTGATGACGTCCAAACACACCGCCATCATAATGGACTGCGACGCCGCGGTTGCTGTATGCAAGTGATTGCGTGCCTGCATGGGCATATGTATGTGGGGATGTGTGCGTGTGTGAGTGTGTGTGTGTGGTGCGTGCCATGGGCATGCATGTGGTTGAGTCACTTGAATCACTTGGGTAACAAGCCGAGGCTCCAAACAGACAGACAGCAACTCATGTGTTATGCCAAACGCTTATGCCGAACCCTTCAACTTTCAGGTTTGCAATCACATCTTCAAGTCTCCGGCCAAATTGGCACCACACGATGTGTTTAGAAGGGTTTCGACCTTTTTTCAGGCACAGCTGAAACTTGCCTCAACACCTCCACGAACGCCAACCCTGCGGGTTGCCAATCCCAATGGCACAGCGACGTTCCTACCCTCGTTCACAAATCCAAAACTTTCTCCAAAGCTTCCCCCAACGGCAGGGCCTATCGATCACATTCCAACGGTGGTGAGCGGTTGCAAACGGTTGAGAACACGAAACCAACGTCACGCGCACAAACGCCCTATCCTCAGACTCCCAAAGTTAAACGAGAACGCTGCCATATGTATGTTGCTGAATGTATGCTGTCTGCCATTTTTATACGCAGCAGTCTGCCAAAATTCTGCCCAACTGCGGTGCCCATTGCTGCCAAATCGCCCGAGCTTTTCACTGGCTTGGAAGCTTCCTGAATGACCGGTGACAGTTCAGAACATTTCAGAACATCTCGCACCCGGTGACATAACCTTGCCAAAAAAAAAAAAAGAAGTTGTCTACGAACAAACATGGATGTGGATGCCCTGGCCCCTTGGAAGACCATCTTCCAGGGGTCACAAAGGGGTGGTGTTTAGTCCCCAAGTGAGTGGATAATGGGCACCCCTAACCTCCATTAAGCACCCCTTTGTGACCCCTGGTTGTTTGTCTTTGCATCTTTTCATCCATCTCCACGTTTGCATCATCTCGGCGCCTCCAGAAAGCTGAAGCATCCGCACGACGCGCCCATGGGCGCGACCCAAAACTCGTCCCTACACACGATGCAAATGGTCCTGGTCCAAAAGGCCAACCTATGGATCTGCTTTGAAGACTCTGCTTCTTCTGAGCTACTCACGATCTGTTTCATTCCGTTTCTCTTTCCCACTGTGTATGGATTTCTGCCAGCTTTCGTCAGCGGCATCCTGCCCACCCTGGCCTACGTGGCAAGTAAGCAATCGCAAAGAAGGAAGAAACTAGTCTACCAAGTGAGATGCTAGTTCACTTTGATCTAGTTTGGCAGTGTGTTCTGCTGTGTCGACAGTAAGAAGCAAGCTCGGCACTGTGCTAGCTTTCTAGGTCACACGTCTTGACACACTCCAAGAAACAGTAGCCTGTGCATGTTGGACACGCGCTGGATTTAAACGGCATTTTGTGTTGTGTCTTAACAATGTGCATCGAACCTTGCAATTGTACTGGTGATGCAAAACCGCCTGTGTGCCACAAGCCTGCAGCACTGCACTCGTCTGAATGCGCGCGCTATGTTCTGTGGCAAGCACTGTCGCCATCCATCGCTGCCCCCGATCCAAGAATGATCAGCCCAGCATTTCAGTTCTGCCCCTGGCGTATTGCGTCTCTTGGCTGTCCGTTGCTATTTTGGGGAGAAATACTGAATGTTCAAGCTCCTGGCAAGCTACCCGCAGCTCTTGGTTCACCCAGAAGTGGAAAATCACAACGAAGGTCATCAGCTTCCAAACATCTTATAGGAACACAAAATATACATAGTACTGCATTACTATCACACCAACTTATCACCAAATACCAAACGAAAAAGAAGGGTCTTTCGCACCCTGGATCACCCTGGATCATCCACGACACGAATTAGGTCGGCCTACGAGAAGCTGGCATCAATCCACAACAGTGGCTTGGACGTCAATATGCAATAATGATCCATGACAACACATCATTACGTTGGAAGAGGCTTTTAGACCCATGTCTGAAAAGGTTTTATTCATTCAAGCGTCCTACAAATACAACAATTTAATCCTTCAAAGTTCAAAGTTGGATGAGGGCCACGATGCAGTGAGCTTGGTCGCCACCCACCCAAGGGCCCGCTCGGGCGCAAGGCAAGCTCTGAGGGCCAAAGATCTCTCCGCCCTGACGCCACGGTCCACCGTCCATGGGGGATGGACCGTGGGGCAGCTCCAAGCATCAGACCGTAAGACTCACGTCGAGTCTATGAGATTTGCCGACAAGTCATCTGATGTCATCTCGGCACCACTCGGTACCAAGGCATCATACATGTCGAAATGCACCTGTGGGAGTGGATGTCCTAGTGTAGGGGTTTCCATGGGTTTCCTAATTGCTAAAATCAAGCTAAATTAAGTCAAGGTCATGCGTTATGATGTACCTTACAGCCTAACTCTGAAATCTCAAGGATTCATAAAATCACCAAAAAAAAAAACAAAAAAAAAAAGCTGGTCAAAAAAAGTGAATATCAAAAAGCAAAACAAATGCAAAAGGAAGCCAGAAAAAAAGCAAAAAAAGCAGAACAGCAGTTCAAAAGAAAACAAACAAAAACACAAAAAATGCAAAAACATGCACATGCACAACCAAATTTCACACACCACCTTTTTTGTGCGATGTTTTTTCGATGTTTGTGCGTTTTATGTGCGATTTGTTTGCATGTTTTTTGCATGTGGTTTGCAGTTTTTGTGCGTGTTTTGTGCGTTTGTTTGCGATTTTTTTGCGTTTTCTCAAGGAAACACACAAAAAATGCAAAAGACTCGCCAAAAAAAGACCGCAAATACAAAGCAAAAAAATGCAAAGGCAAAGACCAGAACGTTTTTGATCGCATTTGTTTTGCTTTTTGATTGCATTTTTTTGCATGTGTTGTGCATTTTTGTTGCTTTTGTTGTGCTTTTTTTGTGCATGTTTTTCATTGTTGGTGCGTTTTTTTGCATTTGTTTAGTGGACAAATGTGTTTTGTTTCGCATTTTTTGGCGTTTTTTTTGGCATTCCAAGGCATCCTTTGGTGACTTGTTTTTGCGTTTTCTGTGCATTTTTTTCGGGATTGGTTTTGCATTATGTTTGCATTGTTTATGCATGTTTTTTGCTGTGTCATCAGAACTAGCTTTAGCGTACATCATAAGTCATGCGTCATGCTAAATTAAGTCAAGGTCATGCGTCAGTGGATTCCCACACTCCAGAACCCACCGGTCAAAACCGAAAACCTATTCCACTCAATTGCGCTCTCCCCCGGCCCCTCTGGCCTCCCCTCGCCGTGCTGCTTCTTCTGCGATAGCACTCACGAGCTGCGAGTCGCAGCTCAGTTGGGTGGCTGAAGCCTGTTGGGTTGGGCGATCCAAACCCCGTCCATGTTTTGCGCCACAGCTTCCGTCGAAGGTGTCCAGTCGATGTTTACTTAGCCCACACAATCAGCCTTTTGTCCACCCGTCCTCCTTTCCACTGCCAGCTGGGGCCAGCTGGAGTGTGTTCGTCTAAGTCGAGAGGCTAGCGTCCAAGTCGAGAGGCCAGTCCAAACGTATCTATGGCCTCAATACCCAGCGTCGTATCTAGGCCAAGAGCACGGGGACCTTTGTGACGAATCGGTTGGGTCTCCTATTGCATCCCATTACCAGTGACCGTGGATGATGATCGTTAGTAAAGCCCATTTTCCAAAATAGTGATAAAAGTGTTTACAACCTGTTACAGGCAATAATAGGACAGACCCAACGAATGGGTTATAGGTCCATAGTCAATTCATGTCCATTCCCTTGTAGCACAAAAAGCCAGGACCATAAATCAGAAGGAGTCGGGTACACCAGCGGTCTGTTTCTCTCGGGGCGATGCGTCGCATGTTTTCACCAGCTGGACACTGGGACCGGTGGGAGATACATGTTGGTTGAGGAAAATCTGAACTCACAAGGTGAATTGTCCAGTTATTACCTGTGTTCCATATCGGCTGTACTCCTATGTTTCATCACTTTTTTCCCAAGCCGTGCGACATCTTGTCAATCACACATCTGCTGAACACTTAAGCTCGTAATTGGCTGAACTCTTTCTACCCGATGAGCTCGTATATTGTCTGGAACTGCGGTGTCTCGTCTGCGGGAACGCCTAGATAACATATACACACAGGAAAATCCAAGGTGCATGATAGGGCACTTAGACTTTAGGAATGCCAAGCTCTTGCAATTGCCGACTACTGTCAAGTTAAAACTCCCCCGTCAATTTCAACTATCAACCAGGCTGCAAAAGTAAACTTAATCCTTCTCAACTGTATATTGCCAGAGTACACTGACCCGTCTCCTTGACAAAAAGAAACTATCCATGTATATATATATATATATACAAAAAGCTTTGTTTCATGATCAACTCCAATTCACTTGCTGTTTGTGAATCTTTCAAGCAATTATCAAGGTCCGAGGTCTATTATTGTGGAAGTGAAGGCATCTAATATTGTGGTGCACATGTATTCTGCCAGGATAGGGGTCATTTATTGTTGAGATGTGAACACAGCGACACATGAAATGTCCCCATCCTTCTCATCCCAAAAGCTGGATTCTGAGACGAAGCTGGTGCTGCTGGTGCCTACCAAGGTCTTCTTGGAGGGGAGCTCCGCATTGCGCTGGACCCTGGCGCCCGACGCTGCATCGCCTGTGCTATGCTGCTCAGCTCTTGTGTGTTGAACCTCACACAGGCGACGCCCGAGATCGATCGTGGTCATAAAGATCCATCGAAAACTATACGAGAAATGAGGGGATTTTAGATATATGTAATTCTCATGACTCAGAATTACATATATATATATATATAAGCACTTTTTCCAAAACAACATGCCAAGACCCTAGGACTGCCCTCCGTAAAGCAAGATACACATAGACCATACATGCAGTGGTTACTGCAACTAGGATCCACTGGAATCCAGCTTACGCACACAAGACACCCATCCCCTTCCCAGGGACGCACCTGGAGATCTTCGGAAGCGCTGCAGCTTCCATGGCCGTTAGCCCATCACCTGCTGGCGAGTCACTCTGCCAGAATCCAGCAGGTCAAAGAACAAGTGACATGAATTACGAGATCCCAAAAGACCCCCTGAAAGAAGAAAAGTAGACTCAAACCAACAAAACCCCCTACAGTAGGGCTTTAAGTACCTTCTCAGCAGCTGTTTGAGGTGGGTTGGGAAGGTCGAAATAGCTTCCCAGGAGGTACTTTAGGGGACATGAATGAGATGCAACCTGAAAACATGTTCTGACCGTCTGACCTCTACAAATCCAATGTTGGATGCTGGAGACACCACCCTTGGGACCAATGGTTGCAGGTTGATCTTGCCAGCCACGTTTCGGTGCTCAAATGTCCTACGATATCCGCAAGTATGATGCGCAAACTCCAGCGGATCCACGCATGTTACTCGAATAACATCAAATAACACAAGAGCGCTGACCAAACTGCCACATCTTCGCATCTTGCTTTTCATAAGCACCATTCAATCCTCTGAATGAAGTCGAGAGGGACCGTACAGAGAGGGAACCTCTGATCATCAGCTCCTCCCAGAGCTGCTCCCTCCCACCCCGCTGACGCCGCTGTTGGACCTGCCAGCAACTTGCCAAAGCCCCAGTCTGCCAGGGGGAGGCGCGAGGCGCGAGCGGTGAGGGGTCGGAGGAACAACATCACGGTACATACACCCTGGAAGACGATCACATGGACCACCGAAAAACCACGGGTGTCGTAGAGGAAGACCCATTTTTTTTAGGGGGCCTATCTTGTCAGGGTCTATGTGAGTTTTCGGGAGTGTATATCTAATGTGAAGAAGGTTTGATCAGTTCAACATGTTCAACCACCAAAGCTTAACAGAATGAGTCCCCCCCAAGCCTAGCATGACACAAGGACGTGTCAAGGACAAAATGCCAAGCATTGAGGCAACATTGCCAGTGAAACATACGCCCTCGGCACTGCGATGATCCCAGTCATCATAGCAGGATACAATACGCGAACATGGACAGTGCTGTTGAGTAAAGCCAAACGAAACCAAGGAGGCCGACCCAAAACGCAAAGGGCCCAAGGGAGTAGGAAGCACGTTTCTTGTGCTTCAATTCTTCTTCAATGGAAATCTGATGATATCTGGCTCAAACTGAACCTGGCCCGCCAAAATGGTCACCTCGACGACGTAAATGGACCCTGAACATGTCTGAAAGCACCTAATCATTGGGCCTTTGAGGGTTCACGTTCATCCGGCCAGGGCCGCTAAAGTTCGCCGCTAGGGTCGTTCTGCCTGCAGAAGTTAATCTGGATGTTGCACCAAAAGCTGGAGGATGGAGGACCCAAAAATAAGACATTACATACACATAATACGGCAACAATACTGTCGATGCAATTGGAAATGCTGAACGAAAGAGGATTCTACTACAAGTACTAGTACTGTGACCATCGTGACCGTCGAACGCCTCTCGCCCAACGGATGGACAACCTCATACCTTCCCCTGCGGCCGATAGGCAAAGGTTGGCCACGTCTTGGCAGGACAAGTCGATGTCCCTAGCGCGGGATATGACCTCATGGCATGGGACATGGCCCGCATCATGCGAGCACCAGTTATTCAGGCAACCCGGGGGAGGTGGTCAACCTGCCGACGGGGAAGAACTAATAGGAAGAGCGAGTGAGATGATGAGAGAGGTCCCCCCCAAAAGAATTGACATGAGTTCAATCAAGGATCTTCCGCCTTGCCAAGCGAAGTACCAGTAGCAAAGAATTGTAGAATTGTCAGCTTCTCAAATTCGGATCTTTTCACTTTTCGCCTCTTTTCGCCCCTGAAAGTCCTTCACTGCACCTTCGCGGTGCTCGGCCGGCTGCTCTCGCTCCGCTTCTGCACGCGCCACTCGGTCCCGAGCCAACGCCATGAGCGCAGCATCGAGCGCCGACCACGTTCCAAAGGCCCAGGCCATGGCTGACAGCTCCTCCGGTGGCCCGGCCCAACACGACAAAATGATCAAACCGGACTACCATGATCATGCGTACGGTATGGAGTATGTCGATTTCTGGATGACGTCCCACATGGACCAGCATGTCATTCCATGTCCATGTGGGGCCCTGCAACGGCACTACCATGTACATGCTCCATGTATCCTTCTTCGCTGCTTCTTCGCTTGCCTCGCTTCCGCTCGTGCTCTGGACTCACCCGAACCACGCCCGAACCGCGGATGGACGTCACCTGCCCTCTCATCGAGGAGACCTGCCCGAGGTCGACGGTTCGGCTTCGCGCTCGGAGTCGGACATGTGGTCGGCAGAGGTGGGAAAACATGGCCCAGCTGGGTAGATTAAGCGGCTACGCGGACTGGTCAGGCTCTAGGTCTAGGCCCATCCCATCAAAACCGAACCTCTACTCAACGATCGAAGCAGCTATGCAAAGCTTGGGGAGTCTTTATCTGATTTGATTCGGAACTGACTGCGCTGACTAAAACTGTTGCGATTTTTTCCGGTCTGGAACATCATCAAGCACTCATCGACGAGACGCACGAGTTGGTCTTGGCAAGTCTCAGACCTCGACTGGACCCATTGACCTGGTCGTGCTGCCCCTCACAGCTCTGGGCGCAAGATGTACACCGAAGCCTCCAACAAATAGTTTGGACTACCTGGCCCACTACCCTATACACTAACTCAGATGCCAGGACACCCCTTGCATGTTCGATGGATCTGAAGATCTTCGCGCCTGCGAGGCCCTTGCAATGGCCTCAGTCAAAGGCCTTGGCCGCGAGCTCGGCGCCCTCGGACGCCACCGGTCTCTGGCGCACCAGTCCGGGCTCCTCATGTTCCAACCGATTTAACTTGATTCAGTCTGGTCACATCCGAACTCAGTGAAAGACCACACAAATGATTGTGTTCAAACATATATGTCACATGTGGGACGTGTGCTTGCTCGGCTATGGACAGCAACACATCTCGCGGAGAGAGATCTAATATAGGCCATTGGCAAATCAACATGTCTTTGAAACCAAAGGTGCACAAGGAGGCCCAGTCTGATAAGCCCACTTCTACCTAGTGCCTTAACTTCCCAACAAATGCACATCACATTCACATGCATTCACTCACTAAGGCCCAGTCTTGTCATGAACTTCAAGCTTCCCGAAGGCTCAGCCTCAAGACTCCAGACTTCCATGTAATTACCGCAGTCTGTGCGCCCACAGGTCGCAGAGTCCTAGTTGGGATGAATTCGGCCAAGCCGAGTACGTTGGACCCAGGAACGTCCCCGCGAAGGAAAACGGGCCCTTGTAACTGAACTCGAATGCTTTCAAAGCTAATCACCATGGCCTTTGGCGAGATCATTGCGGACCCTACTGGAAACTCCGATATCATCTCGGGGGGTGCTGGCAGCCCTCGCGGCGCATCTTGAAGTAATTTGGTATGGTACCTCTGCAGCATCGATCATGGCCAACTGAGCTCCTGGCAAATGTTGGCAATCCTCAGTCATGCCGAGGTCCCGCGATGGAATGCATGCCGCGTCCGTCTGCCCCATGGTGTCTATCAAAGGAGCTTCAATCTGTCACAATCTTTCCATGGGTGGTCGGAGAGATAGATCATGATAAACCGACAAACCAATCGACTTGTATGATGACTGATGACACATGCTAATACACTTGGAGCGCAACAACGAACCCATCCACCAGCAAGTTTCTGATACAGTAGTTTCTTCACCTCCCAAGTACAAATATCACAACTATCACAAATCCCATCAAGTTGGCTGTGTTTTGCGGCCAAGGGGCCCCTGACCATTGAAGCGTTGCAGCATTTCCATGCATTGAGCAGCCGTGGCTGACAAGGTGGGCCCCTCCCGAGAGGCCAAGGTGGCGAAGGACCACACCAGATTGGCCAAACCTCCCACGAAGGACCGCGGTTCGCGGGAAGGTGAGGTTCCGGCCCCGCGTGAGAAACAATTTGGGGGGGGTGGGGCTCCAAGGAAGCAAGGAGTGGAGCAATGGTAGCATGCTTGCTGCTTGGGTGCTGTTGATGATGGAGGAGGACACAACTTCCGCTCGGAAAAGGTCCTCGTCGGGTTCCAAGAACTCCCAGTACAACTGAACATCGCCTGAAAACATTGTCTTTCTATGTCTTTGTGTAGTCCCTCATTGGCCAAGCACTCCATGTATGGAATATAAGTGCGTGCATTCACCCCCCTGACCACCAAAATGTATAGCCTACATGCAGTGTCTGGGATTTGCAAACAATAGTTGAGGTCATGAGGCGAGGCCCTTTGACAGGGAGTTGCGGAGTGATTGATTGTTGGCTGCTGGGGGCTCTTGTACATCCGGTACATAATTCAGGTTAACCCGTAATTAGGCACAAAAACCGTCGTTGCAAATAATACATAAATTATACAAATTTTATATATATATATATTGTGTATAGTCTAGTCTATCATATCCAAAAAAAACATTACACCACTTAGGTTAGAATCCCCACCTTTTATTGGGGCCACTACTCTCCTGGCTAATGATCAAGATTCAGGCTCCTACAACTGCCGTGCCATCCGTTCGCACCGCGCGTCCGGCACCTTGAGCGTCCAGGTCGTAGAGCTGAGACCTGGGAAATCCGGACAGCGAGGGGACCAGCCCACTTGTCAGCCTTGGTCCCCGACTTGATCTGAAAAGACATGCCCAATAATTTGTTTAAAAGGAAGGTTCGAGAATCAAATCATTCTCGGATGGGATAACAATGTTTGAAGACCTCACCATGCTGCCTGATTTGTGCACGCGCACATCTTGTTTCACCCTGCCCTCTCCACATCTCTCCACCCACTGCAAGATTCCTGTTTTCTAGACATATCAACATAGCTAGCTAAGAAATATCAACTGCAAAATTCCTCAACTTGCTAATTACCTGGTTACTCCCCCTGGAACTAACATGGAAGCAGAAAACCACCTGCTTGTAGTGGAAAATGATGGTCTTCCAAAAATTGGGCCATTCTCGACTTCCATGTTAACAATGTTAGTTCCAGGGAGTGTAACCAGGTAATTAGCTCTACCTACAAACAATCCAAGCAAAATGGGCATTCCTTGGAGGCTTCCTTCCTTCCCCCCTCCACATGCCTGGAGGCCATGGCGATCCCTTGCAGCAAGGGTGGCGCTCCTGGGTGGCCTTGGACACCGAGGCTTCCCCAAACAACTTCAGGAACAGAGAGTTGTGAGATATTTAGATACCTAAACAAGCAAAACTGCATATACAGTATTCATCATGTATGCAGTATACTAGATCTATCCAAAATCACCCGGCCAAACCGTTGAGGGGAAATCTCCACCTGGTCTGAAACATGAAGTCAGCCGCATCTGCCACTGGGAAAGTTTCGTGACAGCGAAAGATATCGAGATCCATCTGGGCCGCTTTTTGCAGGGTCCCGTCATTGGAGTCATATTCTTGGGCGGCCCACATTGCAGGGTAGGAGACGACCACACAGTGGGGGAAGCTCTTTGGAGGTCAACGGTGTTGGATTTGCCTTGCGAAACGTGTTAGAACCACTGGTGACATCGTCATAAAGTTTCAACATAGAAACAGTGTCCAAAGCATTTCTCCTGAAGAGTTGACCCTATACTATATATATATATATATACACCGAGTGTCCAAATATTGTTCTTTCTCCCTGGTTTGCGTTATTGCAATACACCACATATCACTACATATTACATGTTTCTGTCATACACAACTCTCCAGGCTTGGGAAAACATGTAGGGGTAGCCCGTGTCTCCACACGCAGGAAGGTGTATTTTCATCCGCGGCGATGCCATGCCGCGTGGAGTTCCTTTCAAAGATCGTCATCCTTTTCCACATGAGTAAAACCATTTAACACCCGTTCCACGGCTGGTGAGTGGTTGCATTTGAACTTGATGACGTCATCAATGTGGATGCAATCCTGAAAAGCCAAGGACACAGGGAAGGCATCTAACTGTGGCAACCTGCCTTCACAGGCAGCCCTCGGCAACCACTGTGGCGCGGAGATTGCTGCGCCCAGTGCTCCAACGGCGAATTCAGCAAAACAATGCATGCTCTGTTCCCAGCCACAAGAGCCAAACATGTGACAGGGGCGTAAGATTAGGACATATCCCAGTGCATCCCAGTTACTACCACTATATAAGGAACCAGTGATTCTAGGTTTATGGTGTTAGTCTTTGGAACCACTGGTTATCAGCTACAGGCTATAGTGGTAACTGGATGCCCCGGGTATGATATGATATATGAGTCATGGACCTGGCGGATGGGGCCCTTGTTGTTGTCAAAGTCCAAGCAGCTAGCGACTAGCCACTAGTGACTAGTGGTCTACGCCGTTACACCGAGACCACCGATGTAGACACATCTCCTTCAGATGCTCGAAGATCGTTAAAAGGGGAACATCTCATTGTGCCCTGACACGGGCACGGAGTTGCCCTGGAGTTGCCCCATCTGCCATCCTCTGCAAATCAATGGGCGTAACAGCCGAAAGGAACAATAATTCGAATAATTTAGGAATAATATGGTATATAAGCTGAAGTTGAAAGGGATGTTCAGTTCCTCCTCTGCTCCGCATGTTGTTCTTGAAGCAATGTTTTGACCCTCCCCTTTCAAACATCCAGTTCAGTCCAATTCATGCATTTGACCCCGCCCCTGCTTCAGCTCCACACTGGAAACCCAGCCCGACAGCGAAGGTCAGGCTTCTTGCTACATTCGGCGACGGAAACTCGCGATCATGAGGACTCTAGCACAGGACTATTTAAAGAAAAACATCATTAAATCATTAAACAACAAAATATTCAAAGGATTGCCTTCATCCGAGTAGCCAGTGCCTTTAGGTCTAAACGGATTTTGTCTTTGGAACCACTGGTTACAACATATATATATATATAGTGGTAACACTAGTGGTAACTGGATCCACTGGAATTGGCTTGACCCCGAACATGTTAGCTGGAAGATGGTGTCCATGAAGAATCCAGGACTCGGGCACCCTGTTGAATCAACAGGAGCAAAACCCAAAGAGGACACTTGCATTCCAACCAAAACATTGGACTCGTGACTTGTCCTGTCATGTGCGCTCATTTTCACTACATGGAGCTGTAACTACTTTGTTGTATCTGGAGCAGTTTGGGATTCACATTGTGGTTACATTCATGCGACCTTGTCGCTTCTGAAATGACCAGGGGGGGAAGCACAGCAGGTTGCGCTACCAACCATGAGATCCTTAGCCCAAGAAGACGGATCTCTCTCTCTCTCTGTCTCTCTCTCTCTCTCTCTCTCGTCTTCAACAAGCCGGCTATTAAATGCTCTCATATGCTCTCATCATCTCTCATCTCTGTTCCTGGTAACCAGTGGCCATTCTTAATGCATGTTCGTCATAAGAAGGCCAGTGAAGGACCTTTCGATATGACTCCTGTACCAGACTCCCAGGTCAAATGGCGTCTTTTCCTAAGCTTCGGCCACCAGCGGTCGAGCAGAAGAGACGCTCCAGCGCATGGAGAAGGTCGCTTGAAGTGCGCTCACCTGCGCCAACGTGAGTCGTAGCATGCATTAGCGTTGTGGTGGTGGTGGTGGTGGCGGCGGCAATCGGGTGGGTGGGTGGGTGGGTGGGTGGTAACTTGAGTGTGTGCTTAAGTGTTTTAGTTGACTTGTCCACGACAACACAGTATCAGCACCGTCACAAACTGATTTTGAGGGTGTGTTTTCAAGTTCAACCCCAGGTTGCGGCGCTGCTTCGAGCACAAGCAGACTTGAAGATCAATCGCGATGACCCTCTTTGATGCCTGAAGGAGTTGCCTCTCCAAATCACAATCCTACTACACTCAAGCAGGTTCAATGCCACCAGCATCGATTCAAATTCACCAGTGTCTACGGCACTCTTGCCACCAACAAACGCCACGCCTCACTCTCCAGCATCGAGGGCCGGCCAGTGCTTCGGCTTCCCGCTCGGGCCCCCTGGTCGAAGCAAGGACGTGGCTGCTTGGCATGAAAATCAACATGAAACTGTAGACCCTTCAACATCTTTCAACCCCTCTTTGCCATCCAAAGTTTTACATACTCTTGGATGGGCTCAATGTTCCGAGGCTTAGAGTTGAGGGCTCAATGGGCCACGGTCAACATGCCTCCGCCTCTCCCTCAGTCGCTACCCCGCACAATCCTTGCAATAACTACAGCAAAACCAACATGAAGAAGCCGCGCACTTCCTTCGGAGCATGGCGCACCACGCAAAAAAAAACCAATCGCGATGTGAAGAAAACAAGCACATGAACACATGAAACAACAACAACAACGAATGGCGGTCATTTCCCCCTCACCTCACGGAAGCATGCCACCTCCAGTCCTGGCCTTGGTTCCACACAAGTCTTGCGGGATAAACAGGTCACATGGTGCCAAGCAATGGGTGCCCAAAAACCGACCAGATTTTGCTTGTTTTTGCCATGGTTGGGGTGGTCATCATGGATTGTCAATGACTGTCAGCTACATCGCCCAGTCTCATGGCTTGTCTGAATCCGATTCTTGGCGCCGGTGCGGGTTCCACCGCTCCATCCAAACGTCGAGAACTCGTGGGATGGAAGGAGCGAACCGCCGCGCGGTTCGAGGTTGAAGAGGTGTCGTATAAAACAGCACATAGCTAGCTTGAATGGCATACCTGTGGTCCATGGCTTGGACAATCAGCCTGGGCAATCACCAACGTTGCCAAACATGTGTCTGGGCAATCATATTCATAATGTTGATGCCTGGACATCGATTTCTGAGGGATGGGGATGTTGTGAGACACTTCGTTATCTTCAAACGGTTCTGAAACATGTGGATGTGGCCCTCATGCGTATGTGGCAGGTGACACGCAAGCTAAGAAGCACTACAAATGCCATGGACCCACAGGTTTGGGCCTATTTGTTGGCCTTCGATTTGCACACTTAGTCATTGACTGCATTCTGCGTTACAGTACTGTTTTACGGGGCATCTTTTAGATTGTATGGAGAGAGCCGGAGGGAGCAAACCGAAACCACGGATATCCATATGGCTGTGCTACAAGGAGATCCCTGACCGCCTAGCTATAGATATGAATCTGTTCAACTGGTCGAGGTGCAGTAGATAGAGCAAGATCAACAGTGCAGCCGGAGCCACCTGCAGGGTCATGAGGCAAGCTGTGCAAACTCACCCACAAGACTAGGGGGAAAGCAATGGCACATTTCCAGCTCAAAACTGCCAAACAACATCAGACTTGCAACCTTGCAATTGGAGATCCTTAGTTTTAGGTTGTTGTAGGAAACTTCCTCCAGTTTTTGCAGGAAGAACCCCATTCTTTGCCACAACCGCACTCTGGGGACGAAGAAGGCTTGTTGGAGGATGAACTTTCGACCAGGTGTTGGTCCCAGCAGACTCTGGGACTGTTCCGCTTTCTCATTGATACAGATTGGTACAATACAACATGATTTAAGAAAGGGCGCGGCACAGTTAGCTTCTTTTGCACCCTTCTCCAGGCTAGTCTTTGGCACTTCTCGCCGAAGTTGACAAATCGATCCACCCTAGTGGTCTGCAGCTCAGTGGCTGCCAGAAATCTATACTGTATAGTCCAAGAACCTATGCTTGAGAACGCTGCACCAAGATCCAATGTGCTGAGCAGAATCACCGTCAATTTAAACTAGGTCCCTGACAGCTTGTGGTTCCATAGTGCTCGCGCTTAGCTTGGAGAATGATGGAGGCCCTTGACCGGGCCGTTCAGCCACATATAGCGATTTCTTCCTTATCTGGCCGGCCCTTTGCCGTGGGATCACAGCTCAGCGTTCTACAAAACGCTCAGGGCCATCCGCGCATCCGTCAAAAGCGACAGTCGACCCGGATGCTTCCAAATGACCCCAGTTCGCCTGCCAAGCGCCAGAAGGTCGACCGTCATACAGGGAATATATCCGCAGACGGATAGCCGATGGTGGGGGAGCGCGCCAAGAGGACACTGCATCAGAAAGTCAGAAAGCGGTGACAAACAGTATAATGAGTTATATATTATATATTTTATACCTGAAGCTTTTGGACAGGAGTGAGCGCACCACGACTCCACATGTCTTGCATGGATTAGTTTGCTTTAGTGTCTCGGCAGTCGTGGCATCCACTATTACTCTCAAAGCCCATTGTCTTTGTGTGCTGCTAACACATTCACTGATATAGTATAAATATGTATAAATCTATAAGGATTTGTTTGGCATCCGTGCAGGAAAGCACGAATCATTTTGGCCCTTCGCATCACCCGAGCGCCCCACCCCAGCCTGCGCTGCTCGCCCCGGTCACGGGAGCGTGGGCAGCGCGGCGGCGGCGATGCACTGGCCAACGGCCTTGAAGTGGTCGTCGGCCGTGTGGAATTGCATGGAGGCATACTCCGGGAACTCGGTTTCAAGCACCTGGAGCCGTGGGCGCAGGGCGCTTTGCCGTGGGGCCGCCGGGCTGGGATCCCACTTCGTGTAAAGACAGTATAAAACAGTCCAAGTGTCACCTAGAAGCGATGGCCTCCAACCTAGTAGCTTCTTGCTACTAGTAGTGAGGCCAGGAGCTACTAAGAGTTACTAGTAGTTGTCCAAACTGTCTTGGGCAAAGGCAGTCTGAACTTCTTCCCTTGGACGGCCGGCAACTCTTGAGAATTCGAGACAACCCCCTGGGCGTGGCTAAAGCACAAGGCATGTCGATCTAAAGCAGCATGTACCATGCGGCATTTGGAGGGTCGATGGAGCTCATGAAGGCGATGTTGATAGTTTCCATACTGAAGGGGAAGTACGGGGCCCTGAATAAGCCATGTTGATAGCCATGGACACTCTTCACTGTGTAACATTGTGTAACACCAACCCAGAGTGTCCATGGCACCCCTCCAAAGGATTTTAGAAGTACACTCATGGACACCCAAGCGAGCGGAAGACGGTGCCTTCTTGGCAGTGTTGAGCATGATGTCGCCTGGTCGCATGATGAGCAGCTCTGCCAGGGGATGCAGGATTTAAAAGAATACCTGTTGTTCAGAACCACATTATTTTGTAGAATTTAGTAGGGATAGTAAACATTAAAGCCATGGCTATGATCTACTTGGCTTCTTCAACAGCAACTGGGCTGAAGCGCGCTGCCCTTGAGAGAGCTCCACAACAATGGCAACTCTGCTTCTCCCGAGTGCCTCCTGCGCCTTTGCTGACGCGCCCCAGGATCATCACATGGTCAATGGAATAGAACTCACAGTACCTTGAGGGCCCCAAGAGCGACCAAAGACCCCAACAAACTCCGCGCTGGAACAGATCCTTCCGCAAAAGCATGTACCGGTCTAAGAATCCTCGTTTTGCTTGGAGGATCTTCCAGGTGATTGGGGGTCTCCATTCACCACCATGGGCCACGGGTCCTGGGAAACGGCGATCCATCTTTGGGAGCTATGCCGCCTGGCAAAGGAAGCCAGGTGGGCATGTGTATATCAAATTATAGTATTATAGTGGATCTACCCCAAACGCAGCCGGAGGCTAGGCTATCCTCGCCATTGATCCTCCAAACCGTTCCCAGACCGCTCGGTGGCTCTTGGCTCTTAGCGTCTGCGTCCGAACGCAAAGGAATCCTCACCAAGCGGCTGGGCCAACGCATAGCCCAAGTACACACCCATGGTCACGTAGAGCTGCTCCACCTGCTCGGACCCCGTGGAGCTTCGGTGGAGATGGACCAACCACCAAAACGAAGGGTTTGGGACCAACCTGGAGTGGGGCCACTGGCGATCAGTCTCAGAATGCCAAGAGAAAAAGATCGGATGGCGATGAAATCGACGCTTGCTGGTTAGCCCTGATCAAAGCCTTTGAGGAGGAAAGTCCGGTCTGAGCACAGGATTTGTACTCACCACCAAGCCACTTCCATGCGCTGAGATCAAAGTGAACAGCCATCCACTTCAACCCACTCTGTCAGATTTGACCCAGCGAAGCATTTGTTCTGTTTGCAACCTTCTTTTCCCCACCCACCACTGCCTGGGGACGGACTGCTGGATCCTCCATGGCCTTCTGGATGAGTTTCAAGCACTGCGCATGGTTCTCGTGCTTGATGGTGCACATCTCTGGGTGAGGATACACCTTACCCAGAAATGTCTTGGGAATCGAGACAGAACCAGTGCCAGAATGTGCCACCATTGGCCTATATTGATTGACTTTGGTTGTACACTTCGGGGTATCCCCTCCATGAATCAACCAAGAGTAGAAATGCCATCTGTGACACCTGGTGCAATGAAAAAGAACTTTGGCTTCGGCTTCGACTGCTTCGCGACCGGGCGGGGAGAGTTAACGACCGGCGGATGTGGAACTCTCCCGTGAAGGTTCTCGTCCGCATACCTTTACATTGCACAAGTTAGGCAAGCTACGGATTTGGAGGTCCACTCGCACCATGTTTAAAAGAGAGCGCTCTGCTCTTTTGATGCGTATACAGATTCTTGTCAAATACACGTTGACTCGTCTTTATTCCATAATTACCCCGGAAATCCCCGGAAAATGATTGGCTAAAGGAACTAGAATTAGAACTTTCAATCACCTTCACGTCAAGCTGCAGTTTGTGCCTCCGTTATATGTTGCATTGAGTCTCTGGCCAAGTCGGCCCCCAACAATCCAAATCATTACAAATAGCCTCCAAGTTGGCACCTTGATCCGCGCGCGCATCGAGAATCTCCCTCCGCTGCCGAGCGAGGCGCGTAGTTGGCCGGCACCTTGACGCCCGCTTTGGCTGCGAGCTTGGTGGCGCCACGCTGGCCCAAGTACATGTGGCTCATCCCGGTGTGGGCGCCCTTGGTCCATGGATCCGTGGGCGCCTCTGGGTTCATGTCCAGCTTCCTGGGATGTCGAGAGTCGGGACCCCCCCAAGAAGACGTGGTGCGTGGGACAATATTCCTCAAGGAGGACAGATGAAAAGGACATCTGGGCTGGCTGGTGCCGACATGGCATGGGATGTCATCTGTTGAGATCTTTTGAGCATCTGTTTGGTTGGCCTGGGATCATTCCGACCTAAGGACGGAAATCCGAAAACGCCACTCACTTGGCCAACCCGTCCGGAACCTCCCAGCGCCCATGTGCTGCCCAAGCTTCACATAGCACAACTCATTGATCCATCCCATGAGGTTGCCTATCCGCTACTCATCGGGTCAGACCAAACCAAAACACCGGTTGAACCGTGAAGATGGAGATACACCATGAGACACCCAGTGCTTGTGAAGATGATTTCTTAAAGTTTATATAGGCCCTAGCCTTCAAAGACCACTTGAAACACGGTTGACCCGGTTTTGTCTAACATGATCCATGGGAATCCTTAGTATATATATCAAGCAATGCGTTTCTTTGGCTTAAGACCCTTCAAACGAAGTGCCTATTGGAATCCCAGGTGTTCGTTCGGGTCGGCCTTACAGGCACAGAGACGTCTCCACGCCTTGGGCATTGGCATAGCCAGCCCCCCTCGCTGCTGCCCATGGAGATGCCCATGATGTTGCCTCGGAGTGGCTGAAGCGAAGTGAAAAACCAATGAAAGAACATGAAGATCATGAAGACATATGAGGACAGATCTGACCAAGAGTGTATCTTGATGCCTTTTTTTTTGGACACTGACACTCTGGAAGAGATTCATGTTCGGAAAAACATGTCACCGCATTCATCACACCACCACATGGTATCACCACTATGTCACTATGGTGGCCACCAGGTGGCCCTTGCCACCCAACTTCTGCACGGCGGCCAAGGCAGTCACCTGCGGGCAGTCCGGGTCTGACTGGCAGCGGTTGACGGGTCAACTTCTTTGAAAAGGGGGCTATGAATGGACCAATGGGCTAAGGTTTGGGAGGGGTAACCCTTTAAAGCGCCCAAAACTTGTGGAGTTTCCACGGTTACCTCTTTCTACATCCTCCAAGCTGAATGGGATGGCACCCGAGGACTCCTCCAGGCCACTTCCTCTGGAGGTACCTGGAGTAGGGGGTTAGAAAGCTTCTGGTTTGTGATGCCGGTCGATTCTGAAAAGCTGGTAAGGCTGTTTGCCGCTGCTGTGGCTTGACGCATGGGATGAGCGCCTGTGAGCGTCTGGGCGGGCAAAACCAAAGATGCAAGGATCAGCATGAGGAAACCCTAGGGATCCAAGTACCTTCTCAGGTTAGG